ACAGAATATTTTGTCCCATATCTATAAACTCCTAAGATAAATTACTTTTAGGTCTAAGTGCGCAGGGAGAATTTTTGTGGATCGATATATGGTACTCAAGCTTAGATAGTATTCAGCAATATAATTAACAACATATATATTGTTTTTATGGATCATGAAAGTGATCCATTGGCTATTGTTTCATTGTAATTTTAGTTTTCTGAAAGTTCATTATTAAATTTTCAAAATAAATCCTGTATTCTCAGCTTCTTGATGTTCTAATTTCTGTCCTTCTTGACATTTACTTATGCATTTCTTTTTGATATTTTCTTATGTATTATCATAGCTGACTTGTCATTTCATAGAGACTGCTCGATAAATATTTGAATGAGTGATGAATTAATTATATTGCTAAATACTATCTAAGCTTGAGTACCAAATATTGAAAGACATAAACTTAAAATGGTAAAGATGATTATATACTCTAAATATAAATTAAAATATATGAATTCCATACTAAACTAGAGTATAAATGATAAATTATTTATTTTAAATGTTAATATGATTATTTTAGATGCCATCTATAATCGCGTTAGCAGTATTTATAAAGACAGTTTATTTACATTTTAATTAAACATACTTAAGAAGATAAGACATCAGAATAAAAGACAGGATTTCTACTGACATCAGCATTCACATACCTCCACTATTACTGCTTAATCAATTTATATATTTATTTTTAAAAGATAAAACAAAGGAAACTACAACCATATCACTCCTGTTACATATTCTCTAAGCTGAACTGTTTAGACTCTTCACAGCTTAATAGTGAATGCCTTTGACCTTTGTAAGAAGGTTGCAGAAAGTTGAAGAGTTCTTTATAAGAAATACATTCAAGAAAAATATTGTCCAATTTCTTCCACTGAACCCTCTTTGTCTTCCTCTTGTAAACTGTTCTTGCCTTTCTCTGAACTCTCATAGTTCTCTTTTTTTTGGCTTTTAGTTTTTTTGTTGTTGTTGTTTTAGCCTGGCCTACCTGCGCTGCTTCAAATAGGGCCTAGCTATACTTTTTAAAATTTTATATATTCAACTTGTCAATGTGTTAAGTGCACAACTGATTGATGTTTTGATTCAAGTTTTTACTGAAATAATAAATTTGGCATAGAGAAGGGATCATAGATTAGGTATGACAACTCTATAGTGTTGTGTGTTTGTTTCAAATAATTGAAAAACTAGTCTAACTGTAATGCTAGCACGTTTACATAATGTAATACCAGTAGTTTAATAGAATGGGAAGTTGGTTTAGTCCTTGAGTTTTTAAATTATGTTCAAATACTTTGCTGATCAAAAAGTAATATAAAAGATTATTATAAAATTTTCTATAGAAATTGGTAGACTTCTCTGATGATTTTAATAAAAGAACCTATCAAGGAGAACTTTTCCAGCTGCAGTTTTGCACTAAAAAAAATCTCAGAAGATATTAGTAATACTTATGTTTATAGCATTTTACACACTGGGTTTGTTTCAAATGTATTTTATTACTTATGGATAGCAAATGGATTGAATAATGTTCCTAAATAATTGATCAACAAGTTTCAGTTATAGCAGGAAGCAAATGATGAGGATATTAATATTCAGGATACACAGTAGATAAAGCACAGGGCTCTCCAATTCCCGGATGAATGAAATTGAAAGTAACATCTTGAACACGTTTTCCTCCAATTTGATCATCCAATATTAGGTTGATATATAGTTTCAGAGATTTTGCTCATTTCTTTTGGCTCCTCCAACCTCCAGTGCATCTTTGAGTGAAACATAAACATTTATGCTATAAAAAAAACTGTTATAGGAAAGTTCAGCCAAGAGAAGTTCCCTTCCCTTTACCTTTCACATTTATATTTAACACAACTCAAAAAGTATTTGCATCTGTTCTCCTACTGAAGGATCCTATTTTGTAGCAATTGTGCTAAATTAATAAGCTTAGTTTGTACTGTTTGCAAAATTTATTAAAGCATTTTCACATCTGTTCTATCATTTGATCCTTTCTACAGCCCTATAAAGAAAGGGAAGCGGATGTCCTAATTCCTTTGTGATGAAATTGGAAAAGGAAAAACAGAGGGGCTAGGGGGCTTGTATGATCATGTACTTTAAGTGAATTATAGACTTGCAGGTTATAATTGTGTCTCCTAGATTCTGTGCTTTGGTATCATAAAGAGGGCTTTTAAAATTAAATCAAAGCTTATCAAACCCTGCATAAAGTTCAAAACACAATCAAGGAACACTATAAAATAATAATGTAGATATCTCATACTTCAGTGCTCTGATTCAGATCACTTGCTAAGTCTAGACATCTATTTTTTAAATGATGTATTTATAACTTTGAATCTGGCTCATGAACACTTTTGGGCAGTCACTTATACATTCATTCACTATTATGATTTGTGAATTTTACTTTCATGTATTTTATCAGTCTTCCTCACCTGCTTTCCTTATTGTTGATGGACTTTTTCAAATGTATTAGTTCCCCCATCCCATTTCATATATATATTTGAAGAAGTAAATTCTAATTTGTTCTGCTAGTGTCTCACATAGAAATAAACTTCTGTGGTATATTAAACATTTTAAAATTCTATTGCCAAAAGATGCTGCTCAAAAAAATCCCAATCTAGAATAGAACATGTTTATGATAAAAATAGAAGTTCAGTATAAATCATGAATAAAAGTGAATGAGAGAAACAATTTTCTATTATTTACCCTAAATTTTATATACGGTAGAAAAATTGATACTAAGCATTAGTAATAACAAAGAAACTGGACCTTTTATGCAGTGTGCCAGAGTTTTACTGTTTGTACAGTGACCTAGGTGAAATTAGGATTTTCTTTAAACTGAAAAATGTATATCCTTACTGACTTAACAATACTGTAGAAGTGTATATCAATCTGTAGCATGTGTGTTTAGGAATAGATATTGCAGCATTGTAAATAATGGAAATGAAAGTAGTAAATCTAAATATCTTGTTCAAAGATAACTCATTGAATTAATTATCCTACATGCACAAAGTAAAATTATGATATATCCTCAGAAAAATATAATATAAAAGTATAGAAAATAGCAAGCAGTATTTTTATGTACTTAATATGAAAAGGCCCTCCCATTGTTCATCGATTTGCGCGAGTGTGCCCAGTAACGTCTCCATTGGAGATTTTGTTGTTACTGTGTTTGGCATATCGAATACACCACGGGTGGCTTGCCAGGCTCTGCTGTGCGGGCGAGATACTCTTGGTAGCTTGCTGGGCTCTCCGAGAGGGGTGGAGGAATCGAACTCGGGTCCGCCATGTTGGCTGCGTGCAAGGCAAATGCCCTACCGCTGTGCTATCGCTCCAGCCCAACTTAATATGAAATATCTCAAATTATTCTTAAAATGAATAATACAAACACATATTATATAATTATATGATACATGTAAGGTGTTATATATGATTTGTTTTCTAATTTGATTTTGAAAAGTTATAAAAAGTTTAAGATAAATGTATATGTTTGAGTATATACAAACTATTTTTTGGAAGGATAGAAAACTCAACTACTACATTTTAGAGGGAAGATTGAAAATTAAAAGGGAAGAATAAACCAACCAATTTTATGGGCTTATTCAGTAGTTTATTATTTTGCCATTTGTATTTATTTTCAAAAATAATTTTTGCACTGTCCTCCCATTGTTCATGGATTTGCTCGATGCGGGCACAAGTAACGTCTCCATTGTGAGACTTGTTAATGTTTTTGGCATATTTGAATATTCCAGGGGAACTTGCCAGGCTCTGCCGTGTGGGCAGGATACTCTTGGTATCTTGCCGGGCTCTCCGAGAAGGACAGAGGAATCGAACTCGGGTTGACCGAATGCAAGGCAAACGCCCTACCTACTGTGCTATCACTCAAAAATCATTGGGCAATTGAAAAATTAAAACTGTCAATTGGGAAACAGAATGACTTTTAAATTATAAAATTGTTCCCTGCATAGTTTTCTCTTTCTCCAGGGGAAGGGACTTGAATCCACCATTCTCAGAACCTACTCCAGTTTAGGGCTCTGGAATCAATAATGCCCCAGTACTTGGGATTGAACCTGGACCTCCTGCACACACAATATATACTCCTCCATTCAGTTATCTCTTCAGGCCCACATAAGTTTCTTTAAACCAGTTTAGAACACTGATATTAGAGATTCATTGTATTTTGTAAAAGTCCTTGGAGAACTCATGTTTATTGTCTGGGGCTACATGTCATACAGTTTTGAAATGATGATTTGAACCTTGAGATACTGTATGTATCCATTCCATATTGACTAAAAACATATTGAGAAATATGTGCAGGACCAGATTAATACCACAAAGAAACTGACTGGAGATAAATACTTGACGCTTGGTATGGTCCCCTGAGCCCTGCTAAGAAGTTATCCTTGAGTGCAGAGCCAGGAGTAAGCCCTAAAGACTGTTAGATATGTCCCCCTCACCATTGAGAGGAAAGAGGAAGGAAAGGAGAGAGATATTTGTGCAACCCCAGATGCTCATATCCTTTTTACCTTACACTTGGAGACCATAGTTTCCTTGTCCACGGACTCAGCTGATGAATATTTAGTTATTAAATATATGGAGTTAAAAATAGGAAAAGATTCACAGACAAGTGTACCCTTGCAGTTTAAATCCATGTCCCAGATCAACTAATCTACACATGATTGCTAACAAAGAGCTAATCTATTTATCTAATCCACCCTAAGGTGCTCTTACATGAAGTCTTCTATGGTTAATGATCAAAACTGGAAAGTTTAAAACATTCAGATTTTATAAGAGTAAATTTAGATTCTGTAGTGATTTTTTATATGCATAGCTGACAAACCCACCTTTAGAAAGTTTCTACTCAAATTGCTGAGATTCACAATTTGTCTGCTTAGGAATGCTCATTTTATCAATGTTTTGTATTGACTTTACTATTTTAAAACCCCACACCATTTTTTTGCTCCCTTTTGCAGGCTGAATTCACAGCCATGAGGGAGCAGTATATGCGAGGTGGGGAAGGGTTCATCATTTGCTACTCCGTCACTGACCGCCAGTCCTTCCAGGAGGCTGCCAAGTTTAAAGAACTCATTTTCCAGGTCCGTCACACCTATGAAATTCCCCTGGTGCTGGTGGGCAACAAAATTGACCTGGAAGAATTTCGCCAGGTGAGTAACACTTTTGTTAGTTGTTTCTCTGAAGATGCATATAACAAATATGACAACCTCTTTGTAGTTCATATTCAGAATAATAGACACATGATCTTTCTAAGAAATCTTTGTGATCTTGATTGTGTTAGGTCACACAATATATTCCTTCTAGCATTCTAATTTATAGTACACTTCATTTCCCTTCATTAATAGGGGGACAGTTTATTTCCCTCAAGTTCATACAACTGATCTGCCTATATTTGTGCAGCACAGGACAATATTAATTATGTTATATAACTAAAGTTGAATCTTAAGACTGCTCTAAGCTTTCCATTTACACATGAAATACTCGTAATTGGGGTCTAGGGATCATGTGGGGTGAGAGATGTGGACAAACTAACATCCAACCTCACATCTCTCCTTTACATAGTAACTACTCATGGACAAAGTTATTTCTCATTTTTAGCATCACATATGTAACCACCTGACACCCTACCCTACCTATGTGAAACAGAAAAATCTTTCAGATGAACCTTGTTCAGATTTCTATCTGATACAATCATGGGTGAACAAAGTGGATTTGTTTGAAGCACCATTTGGGAAGTACTTTTATGGTGGAGATAATATTTAAGGCTACATTAGAGAAAACAGAAATCTTGTCACCTTTCTGAATCAAAACTAGGCCCTGCTTCTTATTTTAATAAGAAATAACTCATATAAATACCATCCATCTGCTACAAGCCATTCCCACTACATCACCATGTCCTCACTCTTATAATGTCTCCAAGTAATCTCTGTTCATAAGGCACATCTATGTCAGGATTAGACTGTTTTATGGCAAGTTTTCAGATAGTTAACTTCTAGTAGAATATGGCCAGATATTAACGGGGATTTGATGAGCAAACTGTGATAGTTGTTGCATTGTGGTTTCTATAGGGCAATCATCTTCCAGACACCCAGCAGCTTTTAAAAAGAATAGAATTCTGAAAACCTAATTCAGAGATTAGACCAGTGATCTCACAGTTCCATTCCAGGACTCACCTGATATATTACATTACTCATAAGTTCCCTGCAAATTAAATTTTTGTAAATCAAATTTGCTAAATCAGGTGACTCAGTTATAATTTGAGATGTTTCATGTTTATGTGCATTGACTTTATATTTAAGCTAGGTTTCAATACGTTTTTGTTGCAGCGAGTGATTTATTTTTATGCTGTCTAAAATATCTTGCTAATAAAGTCATATGCTCAGCCAATGCTCTTCACTACAAAAGTAGTTTTCTTCTGAGTTTTATATTTGTATTTGTTTTCATTGAAACATTTTATGGTCCTTTTTGTTTCACAGTGGAAATGTCTCATAGAGCCAATGCTTATAAATCTGTGTTACAGAAATATATTCCAGTGATTGTAATGTTTTGGGTTTTTGTTTGTTTGTTTTTTGGAGTGGTGACATTTTCATCTATTTTACTTAGAAATCTAAGCATCATAACCTGGCAGCCAACTATTTATTTTTGAAAGGGAGAGATGTCAGGTCACACTTGGCAGTATTTATCTTCTTTGTACCTGTTATGCCACTTGCCAAGTGGTTTCTTCTTCTCCAAAGCAAGGTGTTTAGTATGATATCCTAGTATGCTATTGATTGGGAATTGCAGTTTATTTCACTGGCTCCACATGAATGTTTACTTAGATACCTGATGCAAAGGTAGAATATAGGGGCTTAGGGCTAGTGAACACCTTCAGCTACTCCTCTTGAAGTCAGGGAGAGTTATTCATTTGTCTTTGAGCCATATTCAGCTATGCTCAGGGCTTACTCCCGGCTCTTTGCTCAGTGATCATTCCTGGTGAGCTCAGTGAACCATATGTGGTTCTGGGGATCAAATCTTGGTCAGCCATGTGGAAGACAAGCACCTTCCCCACTGTATTATCTCTCTGGTCTCTATCTTTTAAATTTAATCTTTAAGTAGAATTTTGGGGAGTGATTTGAGGGAGCATCTCAAGACAGAAGTGTACCATCAGTGAGCACAAGAGCACCTTCTGCATTCACTTCTCAGAATTCTTAGAGAACCTTCAAGTGATCACTTGAGCGAGTACAGTTATGGGAGCTCTAAGAATCGTTGATCTCAAAGGAGTTTGAGAAAGTTAATGAGGCTGAAATGTCTTTAAACAGAAATTCATCAGGATCTCTCTAAAGTGATTGCTTTCCATGATTCCTGCATTGACTGGCATTTTTTTCCCCTTTACCCTGCATATCCTGTTTCTCTATCCTCAGAACCTTTATCTCATCCTGGTTAACTGCAGATAAGCAGTGACTGAGTCACAAACATCAAGGATATCACTAGAAACAACAAAAATGATTTGAAACTGAGTAAGTTAGCAATTTGGATAGACTTTTCTTTTGAGATCAGTGCCAATAAGAAAGTCACAGGAAGAGCAAAAAATATGAAAACTCAAATTACAATCTTAAAAATAAAAAGGATGTGTACCAAAGTCTCTGATAATGAAGTGTTGATATGCAAATTTCGTTCCTGACTGTGGTGTTTGTGCTGGAAATAATTATTTCTATAATTGTAGAGTGAATTTTCCTTTTAATTCAAATGCTTTTAATTCACACATATGTCAGTCCTATAATTGTCCTGTGTAATTTCAAGGCAGGCATTTGATGGATGTGAGTTTTGAGAAGTAAATATATTTATAGAAATTGACAGTGCTGAAATATTGAGGTCAGTAACAAAACAAAGACTAAATACCTCCTGTGTGCTCTTTCAACTGCATTCATATTTAAATGTACTTAAAGGTTAGAGTTTGTGATTTGATTTGTTGATCCCCCCCCCCCCCTTCTTAAGTTAAAGCAATGGAAATGCTGACACCTGTATTGTGCTTAACTTAAGGGAGTTTTGTAATGATTTCTGTGGCAATGTGATTAAACTTCCAAACCCTAAAGGAAATCAAGTTGGTGCTTTCTTTTAGAGCTGTACGCCATTAGTGCAAGGCTTGCTCAGAACAAAATGGATGATGAAATAGTGACTTTTCCAGAATCAGAGATCACCTTGCCCCCAGCACAGAAGGCAGGACTTACATCCCAGCTGGTGACAGAAAGCTACCAGGCTGCATTCCATGCTTCCTCACATCCATCCCCTACAGTTAATAGGCCAGGCCAAGAGCACGGGTTCCACTGATATTTGTTGCCTTCTCCCCTTTTCCTGCCCGAACAAAAACAAACACTGTCCTCCGGTTGTTCATTGATTTGCTCGAGCGGGCCCAGTAACGAGACGTTGTGAGATTTTGTGAGATTTTGTGAGATTTTGTGAGACATTGTGAGATTTCTTGTTACTGTGTTTGGCATATTGAATACTCTTGGTAGCTTGCCAGGGTCTCCGAGAATGGCAGAGGAATTGAACCCAGCTTGGCATGGCTGACTGTGCGCAAGGCAAACGACCTACCCCTGTGCTATCACTCCAGCCCAAGACGACTAAAAAGCCCCCTTAATCTCTCCCAGGATGCGGCCCTACACCAGTCTCATCAGAGGTTCCTAGAGTTCCATCTGGAAGTGCACCACAATAAACTTCCATTTCCTTTACTTTATTCATCTCTGTCCCCCTGTCTGTACTGGACAGGGTTCTCAAATCTATCAAGAAGAGTCTCCCAAGCTCTTCCTTCTTTTTCTACATAGGAAGAGGTAGAGTAGTAAAAATACACTTAGTTTTTTTTTTAACATTTGCATTGTTATATTAGGCACCTGCATTATTAATGCATTTTGGTGAATCTCAAGACTCATTCATCCAAGAAAAAGGAACAATTTTAAAACTTGATTGCTATTTTTGAAAAATGATTTTATTTTTGCTCCTTGAGCCAAAATATTAAAAAGTCCTATTTAAAGTCCAGCTTTTATTTTATTTTTTTGGGGGGGGGGTAGCAATTGATAAAGATGCTTACGATAAACTTTGCATTTTCAAGGACCTATAAAATAATACATGTAATATTATAAATTACATAAGGTAGGCTGCTTTATTTTCCTATTTGATTATGAGTGAACTAAAATGTAATACCCAGAAACTTCATTAAGGTGACATAGCTTTGTCAGAATTGAGACACAATTTGAAATTTCACTGTTATGCTGTTGGCCTACAAGGTCTTTGCAAGTCATCTGTAACATTAGGGAGTTGCATGGGATAATTCTTGTTTTCTGTTTCCTTAAAACCACAGCTAACTACAAAATAAAAGTGGTGCTATTGAAAGAGGAAGTCTCAGTCTTCGCTTGTCAGCAGCAGTGTCCAGTTTTTGATTGGCCCATCCTTTATTTTTGACTCTGCAATTTCCTGGGTTTTTCAAGGAAAAAAAAAACCCAGGGAGTTAAGAATTGCCCATCATAAAATTCTGCCCCAGAGCTTAATCTTACAGGGAGGCTAAGATTATGAAAAATACCTAAGGCAAACGGCCATACAAGGATGTGCCTCCTTTATAAGATTTGCCATGAGCCCAATTTTTATTTAATAGAGTCTACAGGAAAACTTATATCTTTAACTTCCCTATATTCCCTATATCACAAAGACCCAGTTTTCCTATAAAAATCCCACAAAGAGAGCCATAGTTAACTTAGTTCTATAGTAAATTCCTTCCCCACTTGGGGAATTCTTTTTCCTTTCCCTTTTAATTTACAATAAACTTTTTTACTTTCCAACTCTCAGTCTGAGCATCTTTATTACTCAATATTTCCTTTTTGTTTTCTTTTCTTTTTTTAAGTACCAAGAAGTTTTTATTTATTCATTGTATTTTTCCAGGCTACAGAAAGGGAATGGAAAAAGGATCAGCAGATATGTAGCAAAATGACTGCAAAAGGGAAAGGAAGTAACAATAAAGAAAAGTCAACCATCAAACAAACATTTCCCAAGGATGAGTCACTGAAGCCCTAGGTTCCAGACTCTTATAGTTCAAATAGGAGAAAGGGGGATCAAGGAATGAACAGACAGGCACATGCTATCCTACTCTCTGGCCCTCCCTCCCCATATATTCAATATTTCA